ATTTCTCCACCATGTGGATGTAGGGTTTTTTGTTCTCCCACTGGAGCTTCACTCATTTAAAGAGTCTTCCTCATTCTTCCATTAGTCCATGTATCTTTTTTTTTGTTACGATAGTCTTAAAATAGTATTTTAAGACGTCTAAGAGCACACCGTCCTTTCTCATTTGTCTTTTCCTCCCTCTTTCTCTCTCAACCCCTGATAAATTAATGGATTTCAGAGAACATTTTCCTAATTTCTTCCTCAAGCTGTAATTTTCTGTAGGCCTACTGCCTTACATTTATTTTTATTTTTTTTTAGCTTTAAGACTTTGGCACAGTTAAAAAGACAATATTTTTATTATCATTCTCTCACATAATCCAAAAAGAAGAAGAAGAAAAAAAATCTGAGTAGAGACCATGCCACATCCGTGATTAATTAGTGCAGGGCTATTAGTGCTCCATCACTGTAATTACTTGATGGTAAGCAGTTAACAACTGAATGTCCTAAAGACTGAATTTCCTACAGGAGGCATCAGGTGGGGTTTTGGTTATTGACCCTGGCTTCACTTCTCCTGGCTGTAACCGTACGTCTTGGAACATTTATCCCAGCACCATAACAAACATAAAGCATTGAGAGAACAGCACAGCCACTGACCCCAGACCAGTGCTGCGGCACGCTTGTGTTTGGAGCATGAGAGCTTGACATTTCAATACGAGTTCAGCTCAATTAAATGCATTTGTGGCGTAATATTCATTATCACCAAAAAAAAAAAAAAATTCTTTATAAACTACAAAAATAATATATACACATACAATGGAAGTACAGTTTTGGAGTAGCAGAAATATATGCAGCTTATAGTTATTTTAAAGTTTCTGTGAAAGTTAAGTTGTAGTAGTTTGGGGTTTATGACATAGCAAAAAAAGTTGTAAAATAGAATATAACTACACAGAAAACGTTAATAAACATTTTTTACACTAAAATCACGCATATTGTTTACGTCTTGTAGCTGCACTTTTGAAACTGTATTTCAACATTTACAAATTGGAAATAGTATTTTAATGATTAAAAAGAGCACATACAAAGGAAGTGAATGAAGCCAATTTATGGAGCTGCAGAAATATGAAGCTAATACATTTCTAAAATGACTTGCGTTAATTCTTCTGTTAAACTTGTTTATTATTTAAGTGGTAACGTTGATTAAATTATATATTTCTCAGTAATTTAGGGTTTATGGCACAATGATGCCATGGCAATTTTTTTTTTATTATTTTCAACACTAAAATCATACTAACACACATAGTGTTTATGTATTGTAGCTGTATTATTGAAACAGTATTTTAATGTTTACATTAATTCTTCTGTTAAATGTGTATAGTTGTTTAAATCATAATTTTTAGTCTTTAGAATTTCTGACATGTCATAGAAAAAAAGTTGGAAAATTGGATATGACTTAGAAATTAACAAAGAAATGGTTAATACGTATTTTTTTCAACCACTGAAGTCACACTTATGTACATATTGCTTTCATCTTGTGGCTGTAATACTGAAACAGCATTTTAATATTTACAAATTAGCCCCATTCACTTCTCTTGTAAAGGTGTGGTATCCAAATTTTGTTGAAATTTCATGGGCAAAAAATGTCCATTGTCTAGTGTTCTTAGTGTATCTCGTGCATGAAGACAAGTCACAGAAATCACTTTTAAACCAAGCAGCTTTCTGTCAACATCACTAACTTAAACCTGTTGCAAAGTTTTCACCCTCACGTGAAGCTCCTGATTGCACCGATTTCTATTGAAATGATTGGATTTTGCCTGCGAAAATGTAAAAAATCTTTTTTTAACTCTTTTTTTTAACCAAAAAGAGGCACAAGCTGAACTAAATTTGCGTTGTCATGCCACAAGTGTTGTTTTATTGAGCATAACTTGCTTTGATGCTGGAATATTGCGTTTAACCTCTTGAAAAATTCCCTTTTCCGGCACAACCCATGGACACGACATATCCCAGATATGATATAAGTGAACGCAGACAGTCCTGAAGGCTACAAATGTATCTCCAGATAAAAATACGTGTCCGGCCTATCAGTCTCTCTATCTCCCCCACTGCCTTTTCTTTTACCATTACAGCCGTTGTTGGGATGATAAGGTCAACCTTTCTGATCCCTGTGTGTCTCGGCCATTACTCTTTCTCTGCACTTCTCCTGCATCTGCATCTGCATCTGCCTATTCATATTCATTTGGCACTCCCAAAAAGGTCATTTTGTGGACAGGGAGCAAATTGCTGCACATACCCCGCGTCTGAGGCCCTAACTACATTTTCCAGGATTTACTAACGTCTGTGGCAAGCTGTAAAGCTCAATTTGCCTGATGCATGTGCACATCAAGACCCTTCAAAGCTGGGTTTGAAGGGAGTTGGCCTGCTTCTGAATGAGGAAAAGCAAATGTCTACAGCGTGCGTTGTGGAGGAGCTGGCGTGACTACCCGAGCACGTCATGCTTGGGCCCGCTAGATTTGTAAAGCGCGTGCCGCTGAAACGCACGGGGCTAAATCTGAAGTCATGCTGCGGTTTTGCTGTGCACACAGATGGGTTTGAAACGTTTAATTAGGGTTTTGCCATATGCTTGGGCTTTGCCTGTGTAATTTGTATTTGTGCACACAGGCGGTCATGGAACACTGTTTTTTTCCCCCTCTATAACCTTAAAAGACATAAAAATATCCATCTGATGGATTTCAGATTAGTTATTAGATACAGTAGACTTGAGCAGGACTGTAATTTTACTGCGGCCGATATGCAATCCGTGTCAAATATAGAATTCATAAAACATTTGCAACACTTTAGCTGTTTTTCAAAGAAATTAATACTTTCATTCAGCAAGGAAATTGATCAAAAATGACAGTAAAGGCATTTTAAATATTACAAAAGATATCTGTTTTAAACAAATGCTGTTCTTTCAAACTTTTTATTCATCAAAGAATTCTAAAAAAAAAATAAAAATAAAATGCATCACAATTTCCACAAAAATATGAAGCAGAACAACTGTTTTCAACATTGATAATAATCTGAAATGTTTCTCGAGCAGCAGATCAGCATATTATACTGATTTCTGAAGATCATGTGACACTGAAGACTGCAGTAATGATGCTGAAAATACAGCTGCGCATCACAGGAATATATTACATTTTACAACGCATTCACGTAGAAAACAACTGTTTGAAACTGTAATAATATTTAGCATTTTTAATTAATAAAAATGCAGCCTTTGTGATCATACTTCTTTCAAAAAACTAAATAAAACTAAAAAAAATTTCTGAGCATATAAGAGTTTTAACATAAAGAAAAATAAAAATCCTATAAAAATCTAGTTTAAAACACTTAAGTTATTAGTAGGGATGCACGATATTGGATTTTTGCTGATATCCGATATGCCGATAATTTTCAACTCATTTTAGCCGATAGACAATGCCGAAACCGATATATGATTGTTTCATTTTGGTTAGTTTTTAACAATAACTCATTTGTTAGAATTAAATGAACAATAATAAAGTTATTGACAGTAATATATAATAATATATACATGTATACTACATGCTTTTATAATGAGAGTAAATTGAATATTTGAAAATAACTATAAATAAACTATATATTAATCACTGCATTTTTTTTCAGAAAGATGCAGCAGTAACCTTAACATTTTATTTTATGGTTTAACATTTTTAAATGGTCTAAAGCAAAAGAGTTGTAAAAATTCTGAAAATCTTTTAGAGCTCATAATTTGTTTTAAAAAATAACATATTACACATTAATGAATAAATCAGTGTGTATATATATATATA